GGTCAGGAAGTTTGTCCAGTTTGAGAATCTTTTTTTCCCAAGGAATTTCATGCATAATATTCAATATATGAATGCTGAATCATTATATGAATATTTCATGAATATTCATTAGGTAATACAGTCTGCCAGTCCTAATGGTATCATCAGTGATTGACATTGGTACACTGTCACTCACATGCCCTCGTGAAGGTGAACTATTATTGTTTATGTTTTTCAGTCTTATGATTATTATTATCATGATGGTAAGTTCCCTGATGAAGGATAGTTTACAGTTCAAACAAACAGTTCTTTATCTGTTCTGTTATATGAGCTTACATCTAATGGCGTTACAATAATATTATCACTACTATTATACATCCTTTGGGGTTGCTATCCTTGTACCTGTTATCATTATCCACCCTGTTGTTATCATCATCACCATAATAATCATCATTATCCTCTGTTCTAAAGAAGATGTCTGAGTTCTTAGGATTTTTTTTTAAACCTCAGTGCATAGTATACAAGTATTGACTGCTCATGAGGGGAATGGTGAAATCTATTGCCCGGAGGTGATGTGGGGACCGAAGAATATCTACGGCCTGAAGGAAGTTAGGCTACGGTCTCCACATCAGAAGTGTCTATAGATTTCACTGTTACCCGAATCAGCAGTCAATATTTGGTTTTATATACCTCATACATAGATTCTATGAGGCCTAAAAAAGTACTTACTTCCTAGCCTAGCCTAGACACTGTCACACTAGCCTAGACGATCAAGTAGTGCCTAGCTCTTCTTTGCTCATTTTTTCAATTTCAACAGTACCCATTGTCTTACAAAATTTGTCGAATATTAACAAGACATATTTAATTTTTCTTTTAGTGCTTTTTGCTGTCAGCTTCATCAAGAAGTAATGCTAGGCCTAGTAGGCTAGTCCTTCATCCAGGAGCTCGAACCGACGATGTCTAGCCTTCATATTTGTTTACCGTCTACTCGCTAATCCGTGGCGCGGTCAAGGGCCAATCTTTACACATACAGCTCTAAACATACTAATCAGATTCTAGAAGTGTAGATGGTGACAAAGTTAGAATTCGGAGAGACCAGATGGACAAAAAAACTCCTGAGTTGATAAAAGTGGAGGGAAAAGTATGCAGAAAAGATTCAGGTGGTCAACAGGGAGAAGAAAGTGGTTGAAAATCTTATTGGTTTGATATTCAGCATTGGACTGACGTGACCTGAAGAAAAAGATGAAATAGTAAATCTTGGTCTCACCTCTTTCGGCCCATTGTATCAAATGCATGTAGATCAAGAAGGTCGTCTAAGTTGACCCTGAGGAAATAAAAAAAAATTCTTGGCTAAAAATTTCCTCTAATTTATGTAAGTAGGTTTCAAATAAGAAAGGATCAAGAAAATGACGGCTATTAATCATGCAAAAATCATGATGCAGAAAGAAACTTTAAAAATGTTAAAATGATAAATGCTCAATGCATGAAAGAATCTGAACCATCGGGCATGGTTTCACATACTGTACATGAAGGAATTGAAATACTACAGTGTTTTCTATAATCTTACTTTGATTTGTGTGTTTCAACCAGCCCAGCAAAACTGTTAATGGTTCTGAAAAGAATACAAAAATAATTATTAATATTACTATTATTATCATTGCTATCATTAACTTCACCATAATCATCATCATAATCACCATCATCATCATCATCATCATCAATATCAGTATAATTATCATGATTATAATTATAATCATTATCATGATCACCATCATCAGGATTAACATTACTATCATTTTTTAACCTATCATTATAGTTTTCAAATGTTATTACTCACACAATATACTTTTTAAAAATATAATACATTTGATAGAGAAATTCCTACCGTATATGTTTTGTTAAACTTGCAATCTCCTCGGGTGACACCAAGTCAATTTTATTGACAAGCATCAAATCAGCCATTGCTACTTGCCTGTTATAAAACAAAAACAATTACATCAGGCCCGTAGCCAGGGGGGGTTTTTATGGTTCGGGCGAACCCCCCTTTTCTAGCGAACCCCCCTGTTTTCTAGCGAACCCCCTCGGAATTTTTGAATGAGTCCCACCCGTTTTTAAATTGTAGCCTGCATTACAAGCCTACATTCATAGA